TGGAGTTGGTGTTGGGGGTGCTAGTTCTGGGGGCGCGAGTTCTGGGGGTGCTGACTCTAGGGGTGCTGGTTCTGTGGGTGGTGTGTCCGAGGGTGCTCATCTTGGGGGTGCTGTCTGGGGGAGTGCTAGTGGCAGCCGCGGTGCCACTGGAGGTCCTGGAGAGGACAGGGAGCAGTTGCAGCCACAGCGGCAATAGCAGCAGCCGCAGAAGTAGGCGCAGCCGCTGCAGCAGGAGCAACCGCAGTCTGCCCTTTGTCTCCTTGGTCTGCCCGCCCGTTCCCTCTCCAGTGCATGACCCTGTTTACAGCCCGTTTTTTTCTCCTCCGAACTCCTCTCCGGCTCGTTTTCCCCCGCGCTCCCCTCCATCCCCAGACTTGTCCCCCGTTCCCCCTTGTCCGCAGTCCACAGTTTTTCCCCACTTGGTCCGTCGCCCCTCTGGTTGCTCATCTTGTCTCTTCTCGTCCTAGTGTCCACCCTATGGTTCTTCGTTCGCATGCTCCTCCAGTCACTGTCCTCCCGTTGCCTCCCCCATCGTCGCTTCCGATGTTTCCCCCTCCTCGCTCAGACGCTGCTCTCGCTGCTGTCGCTGACTTCACCTCTAGCCACCGCCTTGACTACGCTGCCGCTCTGGTCTCTGGTACTGCCCGTCCTCCATCCATCAGGGGTGCACCTGCACTTGGCAGTGAAGTGCTAGAGCACAGGCAGTACGAGTTGGCCTACCTTGCTGCCATTGTTCCCCATCTCTGCTCCATGCTTGTATTCCCATAGGGCGATCCAGACGCTCTCGACATCCCTGTTCCGCGCTCTTATGCTGAGGCAGTGTCGAGGCCTTGGGCAGCCTAGTGGATACAGGCCATTGAGGCTAAGATGGCATCCTACAGATCCACATGCACTTACGTCGACGCGGTTCCCCCACCTGGGACGAACGTAGTCGATGGCATGTGAATCTCCAAAGCGAAGCGCGCACCTGGAGAGCCGCCGAAGTTCAAGGCACGTTACGTGGCTAGAGGCTTCAGTCAGCGTGAGGGTGTGGATTTCTTCTAGACCTTCTCCTCGGCCCTGAAGATGACTACTCTTCGGGTCCTTCACATAGTCGCACAGCGTGACTATGAGCTTCACTCACTCGACTTCTGCACAGCGTTCTTGCAGGGTAGTCTGCACGAGCAGATCTACCTCCGGCGCCCTCTAGGCTTCTCTGGGTCCTTCCCCTAGTTTTGTATAGCCTAGCTAGTTGGGCCCCCAGAGTCAGCCGACTCCCCCACAGGCGCAGCCGAGGGGAACTGAGTGGCATGGGAGACACCAAACTGGGCGGGAGGGGAGCGGCAGGTGGGGCAGGGACAAGTTAGAGAGGAGGAGGAGGCACAGGAGCGCTGTAATGCGTGAATCGACGGTATTAGGGGAGCGTCTCGTCAAAGGTAAAGTGACGAGAGTGGTAAAAGTGGTGGTGTGATGGGTGGTAGAACAGCCAGTTAGAGACGTTAAGCGGAAAACCCAGGAAGACACAAGGAAGGGTGCGGGCTGAGAGCTTGTCTGTGGTAGTGTCGCGGACGTGAGCAAGGCTGCCCCATACAGTGACAGAAACAATTGTCCGGATGTTTTGCATTAAGTAGGGTTTTTGGGCTTTCCGACCAGTGTACATAAACTTTTAAATATTTAATTGTGGTACGCTTTGGGAGGGGCACATAGTGGATGTGTTCACAGTGCTAAATTCTATAATAGTACACTGGATCTAACTTAGTGCCTAAAGATATACAAAGAGTACATCCGGACAATTGTTTCCCAGGACAAAGAGCAAACTTCCGAGCAGCGTTTCTAGTACCTAGTCCACCAACACTTGGCATTGATAACCACCTGCACCCTCCTAGGCATGTTATCTACAAGGTTAGTGCAAACCTTTACAAGGATCTTCTCGCACTCGTCCTGGGCCCACCCTTTTACATAAGGAGGTGAGCACAAGAAAAATCGCGAAGTACTTGAACGTATGCAAGAGTACTGTACACGATTTCAGGTTGAATGTTATCTCTGAGACTAGCCATGCTGAGGTGTGGCCAAAGATGTCATAAATCGATAAGTCCCATCCGATCATGAATTTTCTTCGTCCTACCGTTGTAGGGTAAAATTATGAGCAGAGTGGCGAAATCTAGCGTGTCCGCCGCGAAACTTAGGGGAACATAGCACGGTCGACTGTGCACCCATTCACTAATAGAATCGCGTTAAAATCTACGGGTCTCATCATGGTGCAGCAGTCGAAGAAGCCCCGACTGATGGGGAAAAATATCCGGGTTCAGGTCTGGTGAGGAAGAGGGTCACTTCAATGCTACAAACTCATGCTCTCAAGCCATTCCAAGCCTAGGCGGGACAGATGGCTTAGAATGGCTTGGAGAGCATGAGTATGTTACGCTGGAGTGACCCTTTTCCTCACCAGATCTCAGCCCGGATATTCTTTCTGAACAGTCGTGACTTCTTCGACTGCTGCACCGTGACGAGACCTATGGATCCT